TGTTTTTTAAAAATTAATGCGATTTTGATATTATTTATATTTTAAGTAATCTTGATTCTTTTATCATTATTATTATTTATGCTATTTCGTCTTAATGGCATGTCTCATCAAATATCTCTGAATATGGAGGAGAACTCCGAAAAGTTTAATTTAATTTAACCCATATACTGGTGCGACCAATTGAGGGGATCTTTACGCACGATTAAACACCTTCAACGGGAGGAGTAGTTCGTCCTAGATTGCAAAGAATTTAATTTGAGAAAGGGCGGAGTGTCATCTCACCCGGCGACCTTCGCTGACATGGGTACTCCTCTTCAAGTCCTTTTAATAAAAGTAATTGAAACGATGAAGATAGAAGGAGATTACAAGAGCCATAGAGGGTGTCGAGTACAGCTGCAGTAATCTCGCTTGGCTGTTTAATATTCTGAGGTAAACATTCCCCCCGCTGACTGCATTTCGCCCCCCCCCCTAACAGTAGCTGTGAGCCATACGTTTCTAAAGTCAACACGTTTTATCATTAATGCGGAATTAAGAGAATTTAGCGCGCAAGCAAACAAAGAGGCTTTTGCTTTTAAAAACATTCAATATGAACTACTATTGTTTGTTATATCTTCAATTTATTATAAATGATGGAACTGTAATCGATCATGCCAAAATGAGTAGGCTGTATATTAGTTTCCCTATCAAGTTTAAATACAACGTAAGTACAACAATTTGTGCAGGTTCGGTGGAGAAATAGTTGGCAGTGAATAACATAGTTGGAAAGTTACTTGATTGTGGCCCACACGGCGAAAAATGAAAATAAGTTTATTTTATGCCGTTTCTGCCTAAGTTGCATACCTCCTTGTGAAGCTGAGAAAAGAAAAGATAACAACCAAACAAGATATATTAAAAACAAATTAACAAGCAAATAACTAAATATAAATAAAATAAATATCAGTAAAAAAAAAACACCACGATGAGTTATCATTTTAAAAAATCCAACCCGTAAGCCTTGGAACAGGAAAACCAGAAGAACTTACTGCAATTTTCGAAGGATAACGAACTGTGTAAATAGATTTACATTATGTAACAGGAACAGGAAACCTCTAACCTTTGCTGTTAAACATGGCACCTGAAATTGTAACTAAATAAATATTTATACTACACAAAAAGTTTTTAATAAGTATTTATTAAGCATACAAAGCGTGACGGACCGTAACTAATACACCAGGATGAAAATCTCTATTTATTATTAGGAGAGTAGGAGTTTACAGGGGCTCAAATTTTCAGCCCAGTCCTCTAGACCTGATAGTGCTGTTCTACTTTGACGATAATTCCAAATATCCTGTACAAATTTCGGTTATAAAATCCTTATTTTGTATATAGGAGAGTAAAATATTAAGAAGCTCGATACATGCGTAATTAAATGAACAGTTGCATAATTAATAAAATGAGGGTTCGTTTGTCGTACTATTAAAATGCAAAATACAAACAAATATATTTCAATATATTATTTTTAAAATACAGCCCAAGTATGCAACAAAGCAGTTTAGACGAAGAGCACGGTTAGCTAACTTATTTCTGAATTAAGTTAGTAGCACAGTGATCAATGGCGGAGAGAAAAAAAAGTGTTCTTCCAGAACTGTAGCCGGACGAGAGATAACTTACTTATTGGCCGAGTCAAATCAATTACTCTATGTACTCTCCGGAGACGAAAGTTCTCAAGTGTCGGGTGGGGAGTTTATCAAATTGTCCTTAAATTAATTCCGAGACAATGTCTCGTTGTTTAGTCAGCTTCCCAACACCTCATCTCCCCTTCCTCCTCTGGGTCGGAAAATACTATCGAAAAACTCTTCCAAGGATCGAAAGAAACTTCTACCCTTCAAGTGTTCATTTTCCCGAGCGAATAAATATTTTTTTCGCCATCTGTTTCTGAAAAGGGAGTCTAACTTGGAAAAATATCTTTGCCAGAATAACTTTTCATAATTCTTTCCCTTATCCGTCTTCCTTCTTACGAATTTTATGGTACAGTTAAAAAAAAAAATTCAAATAAAATATCGGATGTAAGTTATCCTGTGATATTTACATAATTGCATTGAATTAATTATTCAGATTAAGGGTAAAAAAAATGGTGCGCGCAACACACAACTTTCACTTACCGCTCAACTTTGAATAGAAATTTTTATAATTTTTGAATTGCATTTTTAACCGAGCTAAAGCTAAAAAATTACAGCTAACAAATCATAAATACCACTAAAATAACAAAAGTCGTATTTATTATATCATCCGTTAATTATGGATTGTATGGTAGGACTACGTATACCTTTTGACTAGTATTTCCGGAGATTCGTTTTCGACCTGGATAAGCATTTTTATTTTTTTTTCAGTCAATTATCAGAAGTTATATTTAGCATTTTTTCGTAGCTCTTAATAATTAGAGATAGTTAATTATTTAAAATAAATCATATTAAAGGTATTTAGAGAGGAAGATCCATATGAATATTGGTCATTTAAGCCCTATAAACTGAAATCAACGGGGATAAGACCTAAACGATATTAAACACTACTTAATTCTACTATGATACACCGAGTTTAATCAAAATCGTTAGAGCCGTTTTTGAGAAAATTGTATAAATATATTTCAACGTTGATCGGCACCGGTTAGCCGATTTTAAGGAAAAAGTTGCTGTCACATCTTAAGTATCTGCCTATCTTAAATACGTAATTTCAGTTTCATATGACTTTTCCTTTTTGAGCTAGACTGCTAACATACAAACACACAGAGACACAGACACACATACCATTTTTCTGGACTTGGTTATTTGGACTTAGGGTGCCCCAAAACGGGTATTTCCGTTGAAAACTCAGATTCAAAATTTTTTTCGATCACAGTACTTACCCTTACTATATATTACATATATACGTAAGTGGAAGTAAAAAGTGACCAGAGGATTAAGTTACCAAGATCAACTCTTTAGTATTATAATTATATATAATACAACTTAAATACTTACTCTATATTAAAACAAACGATTCATTGATAAGCTAAATAATATCATTTTTAGTACAAGACTCTCAATGTGTCACGTGGGCCAAAACGTTTGAATACCCCTGTGCTAAAGTATATAATGCATACATCTGCCCTCGATGATTTTTTCTCAAAAATATTTTACTTTTATCGAATTTGCTCTGACACTTTTTTTTTTTTTTTGCCGTTGGCATTACTTTATATAGATCTTTTGCTGCCTTTACAAGCCTATTCCATCCCTACCTATCGTGGACTTCATACAGGTAACTGGAAAGAAAGATACTTTATAATTTTTTTTCATTCGTTGTGGTTATTATGGAGAAGAAGTATTTGAATTTTTCTACCCTCGGGAACTATTTTCCTTCTACGCAAATCCTGTTATTGTCATGGAATTTTCGGATCATTGTCATATATTTTGTACTGCCTTCATTTACTTGGAAGCACATTCGCTCTGATTATCTTATCAGAGTCTTAGGAAGTGTCTCAATGCTCATATTAATTACTTCCAAGGACAGCTATATCATATATACATCCAAGGATTAAATGATTCTCATTGAACCCTTATATTTTCGCGTGAGGTTGTTCTTATGATCTTCTCCAACGCCAAATTGAACAACATCGGTGATAGTCCATCTCTCTGCTGTAAGCCCGTAGACACTTCTTGTATTAGAGTTAACGAATCGGAGGCAGTGGAGACTTCATAAGTAATGCTTTTAATCATAATGTATGTTACGAATGGCATCTAACATACAGAATAATATACTATGGATATATGGTTTGACTACACGAGTTCTCTCAAGGTCTCCTACAGTGAAGAGCGTGACTTCAAGAATGTAACTGCACGAGTGATTTTTTCTGAGGAATATGGAGTTTATATACCCAAGAATAGCAAGGGGGTGAAGTGAAGTTGGAAGAGAACGGCAAAGAAAATTATCTATAGTTAATATTCTTAAGATTAGGTCTGTGAGAAAATGAACTTTTGCTGAAATACGTTATTGTTCCCAAAGTTTTGATGATGGGTTTGATAATGTCCAGTCGGTACATTCCAGATAAATATTTCTAAGCTATCAGAGATAGATTACCCTAGCTATCTAGGGATGCTTTGTTCTTTTATCCTTTGAGTCATGAGAACCGTCGATACAATGCATGATTCACCAATTGGCATATTTAACAAACTCAATCATTAAAATAAAAGCTAAATTAATATTATTATTAGCTTAGGACTAGACATTTAGGGTCATCTTTACATACCTGTGTCAATCTCATTAACGTGGAAACTCTCACTCCACTCATGATTTTGCAAAAAACAGTTGCACCTACACATGCAACTGCTAACGTTTCAGCAACAAATAGTTTAGGAATTTATATACTTATAATTAGAGTGTTATGCTAACAAAAGTACGTTTAGTAAACGAAATATCTTCTCTTTAACTTGATCTTAGTGGCTGTTAGCGTTGGTTTGATCCAACCCATGATCTATCTCTGTCTCTCGCAAGAATCGCCATCTTCTAAAACGTCTTTCCTATCGCTTGATACAACTTGGAAAGGAAGTTATCATTGCTAACCCGCGGTCATCTTTTAGTTGCAACTGGTCTCGTCTCCATAAATTTGGATCTCGATCAGAGCTCATTCTGCACACATACCTATCTCATCTTTCTCACGTTCTCCTAGTAGAATTTCGCTTTATAAAATCTCAAAGTTAATTAAATGTAAAATAATACTTCAAAATAAAATTATGAAGAAAAACATAAATTAAGTAAGGTCTTGACTATTTTATTCCAAACTTTACAAACTAAAACAAAATTCAGGTAGTAAATTTTACTTAAGTTTGTTTTGATAATTTTAAAGATTAAAATGCCTATCATCTGATTTATAGTATAGAAGTCAAATCTGTTTTCTTTTCTAGCTCAAGTAAATAAGGGAATCTCGGTGGAACGATATCGTCCGGTTGAAGTTAACTCGCAAATGTAGTTAGATTCCTGACAGCCAAATGGCGTGCTCGGGACCATCGCACAGGTTGGCCGATATGGTCAGCGGTTCTTGCCCACCGCGATCAATTAGTCGGGCTCCTCATTTCCAGGTACAAGATGCCGTGAGCGGTAATGTGTCCGAAGCAACTCCCTAACGCGAAAATTATACTAGATAAAACTTAAATGAAGCAAGATGGAGTAATTAGGATGGTTCGATAATAGTATCAAGCCACTATGGGTCAGAAATAAAATCTAATGGGATAATTTTTAAGAAAATAAATTTATTTGGAACTAGAGTGCTAAGTATTACTTTGAATTCATATTGATATTGAAGGGAAACTCAAAAATTCGAATGTATGCATCTGATAGAGAAAAAAAAAATATAAACCTGTGCCACTACAAAGTCTTGGGTTCAGTTCTATTTATAGTCGGAATTACAGACCCTTTTCCATCTAATTATTAATATCCGCCTGAAACTTGATGAAAACGGGACTATTATCATATCATCGTAACCTGCAACTATTTTATTTACGAAAGCTCTTGGAATTCTGGCGTTTTCAATTTGGAGAGGGGAGGGAACTTTGTTTATTTAATTAGGCACAAAAAACACGTAAATAACCATTAGGTTTCCAGTTGGATTTTAAAATAAAAAACGCGACTTAAAAAAATATTGGGCCGTTTGGCCTTTATAACCTCGTTATTCAGACATGTTGGGTATGTAGATCACGCCAAACGGTCCAATATTTTTGAAGACCACTTTTTTTCTCGATTATATGATCTAACTATCTTACGATTCAAGTGGAAAGAAAATGGCTATATACGAGCTTTTAGTACCTAATTAAATAGAAAAAGTTTGTTAGTCTCTAGACTGAGTATGACCCAATTCCAAGAGTTTTCGTACATAAAATAGTTGTAGGTTACGATGAGGTAAAAAGGGGTTTGCGTCACGGACCATTAGGGAATGTACTGTTTTTTTGTCAACGGTTGTGCAAGGAGGTGATTTGACTGAAATCACGCTCGACCGCCAGGTTTTTCCCCTTAATTAATTATTTAAAGCCGGGTCCAATGCCCACCTTGAGCATTGGAAGATCAGTGTGGTCCACTCTGTAGATCATTCTACCACTGGCTACCACACCCCCAAAATGGACGAATGACCAGAATAGAGAAAGGCTGAAGGAAAATCCATCAACAATCTCTACTTTTGATCTTAACAGAATATTATTCAGATTTTTGGTGTAGCTGCACGTGAGTGCATTGCAAATTTTTCCATAGACCATTTTCAACATCATTCCAGATTCAATAGGCTTAACCATTTATTTTATATTTGTAAGCATTAAGGTTTCACTTTAAGCTCTATTTTATACAAGTCTGCTAATGGCTCTTCGTACAATAATTTAATTAGTCGACGAAATCTTCTTATATCTCATTATTCTTGTAGCCTATATTTTCCAGAATCTCTCAGAAAGAAGAAGAAAACCAATCCTTTGTCCGAGGGACCCAAATGTCTAAGACTGACACTGGAGGAACCTCTGCTGCTAACAAAAGTTCATCTTTAGACATTTCTTTAATTAGTGAATAAATTTGAGTTAATATCTCTTCCACTTTCGCTAGTAAGATTTTTTTATTAATTACTTATTTGACATGTATAAATACTTATCTCTAGAAAATTAGCCCGAATGGGAAAACATTTATAAAATGAAAAGTAAAGTATATTTTCAGGATTAAAAATAGCACCAAAAAGAAAAAAAAAATTATATGACTCGATTTTTTTTAAATTTATCTAATTTTATTTAAACTCACAATATTTTGTAATAAAATCCATGAAATTGATAAGAGGGGTGTTAGTAATTCTGTATGCCAAACCTGATAACACTTACTTATTGCTACGATTCAATAACAGGATGAAGAGAATCGTACAGAGTAATCTATAGGATAATGTTTCCTACACTGATATTTCATAAAATAAATTGCTCACTACATAAATAAAGAGCAGCGAGAAAACCCATACTGGAAAGAATCAAAAAAGAAAGAATTCTGGAAATGATGTAGGTGGGAACAAACATTATAGTAAATATTGCTGTACATAGCAAAGTTATGCTGATTTGGACGTTGAAAAGAATGACGCCTAATAGATTGCCAAAGATATGTATGGAGCTGAAAGTAGAAGGTAGAAGGAAAAAGGAAAAAGGGAAGACCGAGTGTAAAATGAAAAGACGCGGTGGAAGAAAGCCTAACGGGTCATGGCATCAGAGAACAAGCTTTGGATAGAGAAAAATGGAAAAATATCTTAAAGGATAATTAGGTCAAGAGCAACCACACTAGTGGAAAATTCCTTATTAAAAAAATAAATTTCTCTCTTAATCCTAATCTATCTTATCTCTTCCTACAAATGCGTGAAATGGAAACTATCAGAGACTGGTAAACCCTGACTAATGCTAGACAAATTAAGTATGAACCTAAAGTACTTTAAACAACTTACAGTTTTGCCCTTTTCCCCTAGCTAAATAAGATTTATTCTAGACTGAAACGACAAGAAACCGCCGTGACGTTTCCGATTACTTCAGCACTTATTAGACAAACTCTCTAAACTTTCAATTAATTACAAATGATTCATATACTTGACTAAAATAAGACCTATTTGGACTTACGGAGTTGAGCTATGGAGCTCCACTAAACCATCGAATTCCTCTCGTATCCAATCCTTAAAATCCAAAATCCTTCGTAAAATCCTCAATGCTCCATACTTTCTTACAAATAAAACCATCCATAATGACCTTAATGTTTCTTTTGTTTCAGATATGGCCCAATACAGATACCTATCCTTCCATAATAAACTTCAAAATCATCCTAACCCTCTCGTTTGAAACCTTGCTTCCTCTTCAATTCCTGATAAGCCTCCGAGGCGTCTGAAAAGAAGATGGCCCCGTGATCTCCTAATGTAGACATATCATTAGAGTGCTACCATTGGGTAGTTATTCAGCAAGTGTTTTCATGTCATTATATCCATTGTTCAAATTTACTAGATGTATTTATTCAATAGGTATTTCGGCCCAAACCGCAAGTGTAACAATACTAATATGTAGAAATAAAAACAATAAACCTTAAATAGTGTGATATATATTCCATAAATTATACAATAGTGATTTCAATAACATGAACCACGTCAGAATACACTAGTAATATTTTATTCCGATAAAGGCAATATGTGAAATTACTCCTGGGAACAGGCTGATACCATCGAAAGTCAGAGCGTATCGGAATCAAATTTATTCCATAATGGTCTACCTTGGGAAGGAGGCTGTATCGGAAAATGTTGGCTATATGCTCAGAGGTAGGCCCCTCTCTCATAGTGTTGTATGGAAAACAGAGATCAACAGGGTTTGTATAATACAACGGTTTGTCTGTTGAATATTCTTTTATGTTTCGAGCTCTAAATTTTCGAATAACTTGTAATGCTATGAGGGACAAATTAGTGACTAGTTTACTTAAAAAGCGGCTTCGAATACATTCTCGAAAACGTAAAGTAAAAAAAAAAAAAAAAACTTGGTCTTGGACACGATAATTTTCATTTAATTGCCCCCAACTTTGTAAGGATACCGATTAGATGGAAGAAAGGTTTTATAGTAAACTTTATACTTGATAAAATACTAAAATTTTGTCCCTAAGTACAATGGTAATCTCATAGGAGCAAATAAGATTAGTCTCCCTGAGTCAAAATAACCAAAGTCCCGCAAAATGTTCTGTGTGGGTGTAAAATTGCAAGAAAGTGGAATTGCATATTTAAGATTTTTATATGCTTCAGATGTTACAGCAAGTTTTTCGTCAAAATCGGTTGATTTTAACATCATCATGATTCAATAAATGAATTGAAATTAATAAACAAATGAACTTTAAAAATAAAAAAAAATTAAAGAAAAAGTAAATAATTAAAATAAAATAATAATAATAAATCTACAAAGGATCATTAGTTATAAGCTTGTCATATATCTTTTTTTAGTCTTTCACTATCCACAAACTTGATAACTTTGGTAACGATTTCTATTTGATTTTCCAGAGATGCTGATATATTCTGGGGTATTCCAAAATCTTTTAACCTTGCGGTGTAAAAAGAGGGCAAAGAAGATTAGGTCTAACGTGTGACATTTCAAAATTAACAAAAAAGATAATTACGAAAATAATAATTAAATTTGTTTTCTATTCTATCATATTGTATTTTTTTGCATCCCTTCCTTGGCTTCTTGGCTATACGAGGATTTTCCCGGGCCAGGAGAGAGGGCAGAGATTAATGCCATAGTTAAAAACGAGCACCGGGAGGCAAATTCCTAATTATTTTAAATCTGTAAACTTCTAGTTACCGGGCAACGTGTGTTTTACACACACTTTAACCAGTTTGGCCACCCCTCTTCATTACATTGTATTATTCTTCAGATAATGCTATGAATAACTAGAATTACTAGCATCATATCAGAAGCAAGTTGATATGTTAGGATATCGACCACATCGAATCGAATCGAGAAGTGTGGCTATCAATTTTTAATGAGAACTTAAAATAGCATATTGATTTCTTTCCAGTAGGGAGCATTTTTATTTATGTAAGCGAAGAGGTATGTGAACTCAGCAAACACGCAATAACTAAATCAATTTAATATATTTTCAAGTGCTATTTTCTTTTTTCAGATATGTATTTTATTTAATGGAAGATTCATAGAACGATAAATTGGTTAAAAACTTATTTATTTAATTTGAAAAATATTATGTCCACTACAAAACTATCACACTGGATATCTATTCTTCTTCGTAATGAATTTGATAAATAAGCGAGGAGAACAAAATATATATATTATACAAACATATATTATAGGCCATGTTGGGCTATTATAAAATTTTTGAATTGCATTTTTAACGGAGCTAATGCTAAAAGATTGCAGCTAAAAAAATATAAATACTATTAAAATAACAAAAGTCCTACACCGGTTGATTATGGATTGTACGATTCGTTAATTATGGATTGTTCGATCCGCTGATTATGGATTGTACGAACATTAGTTATTAAACTGTTATTTTCCATTGCAAAGTTTATTAAAACGAAATTAAGAGATTTGCATTGACTGTCAAATATATAGGTCAAAAGTTGTCACACTAATTGTGAGTGGATTCTGTTGGAATATCGCAAAAGGGAAAATTCATCAAATTGTTCATTGATTAATTTTCTAAAAGGTTGTATGATGATTTTTCGGAATTAACGGACGATAGATACCTAAATATTTAAATATAATGTCAGATCTAGAATTATTAAACTACAGTAAATATAAACGTATCTACTATAATGTTATAAACGTATCTATGAAATACTTTTATATTTTACTTCTTCTTTCACACAAGTACAATGAAATAGTTTTTTTTAACAATGCCATTGCCTTGATTAGGTGGATTTTTAATACTTCCTACAAACGTAAAAATATTTTTTAAAGTTTACATTTAGTTAGTAAATTTCATTTAATTTCCTTGAAAACATGCAGTTAAATATTATCAGTTTTCAAAAATTATCGTTTATAATTTTTGTTCCGTTACCTTCTACAACTTTCTATAATAGATATTGTTTTTTTCTAAAATTCTCCGCTTTCTAATGATATATTATAAGTATACCTTCTGACTTGTATTTCAGGAGATTCATTTTCGACCTGTATAAGCATTTTTATTGTTCCTCCTTTATTCAATTATAAAATTCTTTCAAAAGTTATATTTAGCATTTCTTTCGTACTTTTAATAATGAGAGATAATTGATTATTTAAAATAAACCATATTAAAGATACTTTAGAGGAGGACGCATATGAACATTGGGCATTTAAGCCCAATAAAGTGACATCAACGGGGACAAGACCTAAGTAATATTAAAGACCACTTAAGTATACAAAGATACACCGAGTTTAAACAAAATCGTTTGAGCCGTTTTTGAGAAAATTGTGAAAATGTGTTTCAGCGTTTATATGAAGTGGCACTTCCTGTTAGCCGATTTTAAGGGGAAAGTAGCTGTCACATCTAAGGCATATACTTATCTTAAATACGTAATATTAGTTTCGTAGGACTTTTTGTTTTCGAGCTAGTGTTCACATACACACAAACACACATACATACAGACCATTTTTCGGGACTTGGTTATTTGGACTCAGGGAACCCCCAAAACGTGTATTTCCTTTAAAAACTCAGATACAAAAATTTTCTCGTTCGCAATACTTACCCTGGCTATATACTTCATATATACGTAAGTGAAAGTAACAATCTGTAACGGAAATGGAATCTGTACTGTCGTATTAAATCTAGTGTAGATCAACGTAAATAAATCCTTCGTCAGATATATGTAATAAATTTACATAACTGTTAACTGATATTGTTGATGACGGATTTTAGCAGCGGTCCCCAACATCCAGTGGTAATAATTAGTAATGAAATGCCTTTAGCAAATAATTCAAAACGAGTTCCATTGCATCGATAGTGAACTTGTGCATTCTCCCATGCAGAATATTCTAATTAGACCGTTGCAATTCATATAATATTC